ATTATTATAAGTCATCAGAATAAAAACCCTATCCTGAGAAAAATCCAGGGTAAAGTAGAAAAGAGATCTGTAATAAATTCTCACTCTTCCTAACATCATTGAACCAAGGATGAGCCAACCCAGATCCTTGTATGCTGAGATCCTATTTCAAAGGTTTAAAGTAATCTGCAGCTCAAAGAATCCTCAGGGAGTCAATGCAGAACCTTAATTTAGTGCATTTTGGTTCACATCAGTGCCTGGATCTGATGGGCAGATCACATCAGTGCCCAGACTTGCTCCACAGAATGCATTTTACTGAGTGGGAGGGCTTTGGATTGAAAATAAACATAAAAATAAACACACAAAGATATGCAAGTATAAAAATGTGAGGCGCGGGTGGGCCTGACTTCTCTTATGGAGAAACCTATGATTCAGAACCAGTGTCAAGTTTACTATTTTATAGAGCAGAAAATGAGGGAAGAGAAAAGGTAATGCAAAACCAGTTGTTTTCAGATGTTACTCAGTTGATGATGGCAGGACAACTGGCACCAAGTAATCTCTCTGATCTTTTGGGGCTGATTCTGATAAACACACGTGACTCCCTGTAACCAGATACTGCTCTGTAGTATCAATAACAGCATGCAGCTAGTATTTTCACATGTTTATTGCTTTCATTACCATGTAAATAACAGCTTACAGAACCACATTTATACATGTGTCTGAAGGTCACCATGTTTGCTTAGATGACCAGTCTCCACAAATTAGGGGCTGTCTGCACTCAAATGACACAAAAATTGATCATTTCCTTTAATATTACACAAATAAAGAATCTGTGAAATTGAAATGCTGACTCTTTCCTTTTCCACCAGATGCAGAGGAGTGTATCCAATGCTTAGTTCAAGAGTATCCAAACAGTGAGAGAACACAATGCCTCCCCAAACCTGTGATATTCCTGGATTTTGAGGATTCTTTGGGGATAGCCATGGCCTGCATGGCTCTGTGTTTCTCTGTGGTCACAGCTATAATTTTGGGGGTCTTTGTGAAGCACCGAGACACTCCTATAGTCAAGGCCAATAACCAGGCTCTCACTTTCATCCTGCTCATCTCTCTCCTCTTCTGCTTCCTCTGCTCTCTGCTGTTCATTGGCCATCCTAACACAGCCACCTGCATCCTCCAACAAGTGACATTTGCCCTTGTGTTCACCATAGCCATTTCCACTGTTTTGGCCAAAACCATTACTGTGATTCTAGCATTTAAGGCTATGAAGCCTGGAAGAATACTGAGGTACTTCCTGCTATCAGGAGCTTCCAACTCTGTCATTCCCATTTGCTCCCTGATCCAAGTGATTATCTGTGTGATCTGGCTGGGAACTTCTCCCCCTTACATTGACATAGACTTACACACTGAGCCCAGAAGCCTCATCATCATGTGCAACAAGGGCTCAGTCACTGCCTTCTACTGTGTCCTGGGATACCTGGGCATCTTGGCTCTGGGGAGTTTCACTGTGGCTTTCCTGGCCAGGAACCTGCCTGACACATTCAATGAAGCCAAGTTCCTCACATTCAGCATGCTGATGTTCTGCAGTGTTTGGATCACATTCCTCCCTGTCTACAACAGCACCAAGGGGAAGGTGATGGTGATTGTGGAGGTTTTCTCTATCTTGGCTTCCAGTGCAGGGCTCCTTGCCTGCATCTTTGGCCCCAAGTGCTACATTATTCTAATAAGACCTGATAAGAACTCCTGGAAAACTTTGAAAAATAGAAGAGGTCCTGGAGAAAACAGGCATTCTAAGATTTGATCTCACAAGAGAGTATCACAATTTTAGGGTTTTGAACTAAAAAAGTACCCCAATTATATATTCTCATAAGGTAACTGAATATGATTGATTTTTTAAATTCATACTTTAAAGCAATCATTATGTAAATCTAATCTTAATTGTTAAATTTACAAATATAAATCAGCTCATATCAATTGCTTTTTCTTATATTATGGATATTGATTGATAGCTACCTTTTATTAAGTATTTATTATTTATAATGTTCTCCTAGGCACCTTATTTTTGTTTTGGGGAAAGATTTTTGCTATACAGTGTGTGCGCTCACCAGAAACACAGAGAGACAGAGAGACAGAAAGTAAGAAATCACCCCCCAGGGAGGATAGCCATGTCACAATCCCTTCTTTCCTATTCTCCTCTTAGGATCTTGGGAACACACGCACAAGCATCCGGAGTGAGTTTAAGTCCCCAGGTCTGGAACTCGGACCACGGTCTTAGAAATAATGTCTGATTTCCATATTTGATTCATTAGTTTGTATCTTCTTTCTCTTTTCTAGGATGACCTATATAAAGTTCAGTTTCTTGATATTAAAGAACCAGCTAGTAGTTACAATGATTCTCTGTTTGGTTTTCATATCTTTGTTAAGATTCATTCTAATCTCAATATCTTTGTTGCTGCTAGCTTTTAGTTTTCTCTGCTCTTTTTGCAGTTTCCTGATGTGTAAACTAGAACTAATCTGATGTTTTTCATCTTTTTGTTCCATTTCAGAACATTTTATTTTACCCTTTTTATAAGTTACTAAGTTTACAAACCTGCTATATATCTTACGTAAATGTGGGAAAACTGCTTAGAGTTGCAAAGCACAATAAAATAGCTACAGGAAGAGAAAAGTAAATATGCCCATTAAAACAAAGTTATAGCAGCTGGCAGCAGTTAAAATTGGTAATTTGCATTTTTAAAAAGTCGTACAGTTCCAAGATAATTCATTGTTGACTAACTGTTGAGCAGTTCAGTTTTAAGTTTAAACAATATATTTAATAAACTTCAATTCATTAGCCAAATCTATATTTAATTAGCTACAATGTAAAATATAACTCAATGTACTCTTTGGAATGCAGTCTGATAATATTAAACCTTTAATTGAAAATATTACCATGTTTTAACTTTTCTATGTAGAATCTGTTTTTCATAATTGGGGAAAAAATGGAAGACATTGAGATCATGGTCTCCATTCAGAAAATGTCTTACTGCTTGACTGATTTCTTGTTTTCACCTTTAATATTTTAATTTATAAGAATTAAATGATATGATTTTCAATATAGATGAATGTAAAAATACTATGGTGGGCAAAATAAAGAGACTTTAAAAAAATTAAAAGGCAACTAGTTATGTAGCTCTAAAGAACTTAATAAAAAATAAATTGACTTTGAAATCTGTTCATTTTGGCATATGAGTACAGGCTGGCTAACAATGTGGTGTGTAGATGGATAGTAAGGACTGTGCAGCTTTTCAGAGTCCCCATCTCCTTTACAGACATGTTTGTTACACTGAGTTCTATGCTCACTGCCCTCTCTTAAGTAGGATTTTATTTTTTCCTTGCGTGTATATCCATCTCATTACCAAGTCTCACTTAACTCTGATTTGTGGCTGAAGATGTCTGCATTTTTGGTTTTCTAAAGACGGATTCTCCTATCCTCTTGGTTTTTGAAGCTTCTGAAAAAGACAAGAAAACCTGTAACACAGGAATCTGATACTCAATATTGAGGGTGCTCAGGGCAAGCCTGACTTCATCCATCTAGGCGGCCTTTAGGATCCAGGCATAGGCAAGGTAGTGGTGCTATCGAATCTGTTACAATTCTCAGGCACACTGCTGGTTCCCAGAACCTTTATTCAGTACATCCTTATTACAGGTTGTTCTTTGCTTGTTAAACACATCACACCATGCAACTCCCTTTTATCAGAGGGCATAAACTGTAAACATACAGGGCACTTAAACCTCCAAACAGGTGAGAGGACAGCTGTGATACTAACGAGCTGACCACCAGTGTGACTAACCAGGAGTGGTCTGCTAAGGCTTCTGTCGTCATCCTCAGGACCGCTGTGCACAGAGTCCTGTCAGCCACATGGGCTACTGCTGCTGCTGAAGATGCTGAAGGAAGAGTGTAGGCCCTGCCAGGACTCCATGTTCCCCACTGCCCCATTAAGGGTGCAGCTGCAGGGAATGCCGGGGCCACTGAGGCTCTGAGGTGCAGGGCTGGAGCACGTGGGCTCCTGAGCCATAAAGGTCCCCACCACACATTATCCCCTTGGCCCCTTTGCAGCTCCTGGAAGGTGAATTTGAGAGTGTGAGTGCAGCCATTAGGTTCTGAGCATCTCTCTGCTTGGTGTTC